AAACCAAATAACGAGTTTTTTTTAACATTGGGTTAAAGTATCTCAAAAACTAAATGTCGGACCTGCTTAATGTAAATAAGGAATTTTTAATATTTCATCTCTTTTCGAATCAGCTATAATTCAAAATTTTATTGTGACGATACGTCGAGTTAAAGAGTTGGAAAGGGAAAAAGATATGCCATTACATTGTGAATATAGAATAAAAAAAATTATATTTTATATTAATCCCGCCTTGTTGTTTTCAGCTCTGTTGTGTTGTCTGAAGCGCACGCCGTAGTTTTTTTATTTGTTTTCGTTTTTTAGCAATGATTATTTATTTGTTTACTTTCAGAAAAAAAGATTTTGATTAATAACCTACCTATATTATTTAACGTAATCAATAGCTGCAGTATAATCCTTTACACGTCCGGCAAAACTGCTGACATCAGCTGATGGAATCGTGGGTTGACAGGGAAAATAAAAATGCAATGAATTATTTAATGACATCCAACTCGGATTGGTTCAGTTTTAATTTAAATGCCTTGTTTTACGACCGATATTTTATTTCAGGTCTGTCCGAGGCGTTCCTAAAAATTTTTAAAAATACAAGAATTATTTTGATAATAAATATTAGCAAAGATTCTTGAAGGGAAATCGCCAAATGAACGGAGGAGTGGTGGGGTGGTGACAGACCGCAATAAAATATAAAAAAAAAAATAATATACTTGGAGATATCAGTAAACTCAATTTTTTCGAAAGTAACTAAATCAGAAAGGATTGTTATCGACAATATCTTTCCAGAGATTATAGAATAAAAAAAAAATTGAATATATTACAACGAAGATGTTCCTGACAAATTAAGACTAAACGAACTCAAAAACTTTTAAAATTATTATTTCAATATTGGTTTAAATAAAAAGAAACTGAAATATGCATAAGCATTCTGAGCCTTACAGAAAACGTTTTTGCAAACTTATTTTAAAAAACATTTCTTCCTTCAGCTACAGATTAATTACATTTGTGGAATTATGACAATATCAATTAGTTACCAATGAATTTTCTCTATTTTTAATAAATGAACATGAACATGAACACTTAATAAATTAAAGTATAATATGTAATAAAGCAGCTATAGTATTAACAAATCTGCTATACGATGTCAAATGAAATCAAGCTGAATAAAGATTATTAATTCATTTATGTCATGAAAATATAAATACTAAAACGATTTTTTGTTCATTTATTCAACACGTGGGACTCTCTATAACTGGCACATTGATTATTTAATGTTACTACTAGACCTACGTATGCAAGTAGTTAAAATTTCAAGGATCTAGAAAATCGATTTGGAATATACTTTATACAGTCAATAGTTTCTATTCTATAGTTTTTAAGTTAGATTTCCTTATATTTTAACATTTAGGACATATCGTCAGTGTTGCCCAAAATCGGTCATAGTCTTGCACTTGGCAAGACTAAGACCAAGACTGCCTGGCCGCTGCAGGACCTAGACCAAGACAGGTAAAAAAAATCGTTTTTGTGAATAAAAATTAAGGCAAAATAGTTACTAATACTTGACAAGTTTAGTTACTATGTGTAAAGGGTTGGTATAACCAATATACTTTTGCCTTCCACTCTTCTAATTTTTTAATCGGGCTTTGTTGGGTTTCCCATATCTGAAAAAGAACAGTAATACGCTAATAGGTAACTGCAAGACTGTTGCGAAACACTTGCGCAAGACCAAGATTCGTAAATATCGTCAACAAGAATATAACGATAACTATCATAAAAAATATATCGATGCATATCATATGAATATTGTTCAAATACATCAAAATACAAACAGTAATTCGACATAAGTCAAATATATCGATTTCCAGCCTTGATGAGTATATTTTTTCAAAAAATTAGAGCTAGTTTAACATTGAACTGAAGTATTATATTTAATATATTTCTTTATGCCGATGACACGTGTATCCTATCAGTTAATAACGATCCTTTAATTGCATCCCAAACTCTTCAATCACATATCACAAGCCTTGAAGAATGGTGTGAAAATTGGAGAATAAAAATAAATTCCAGCAAATCCCATCAAATCACCTTTACCCTCCGTCGTAAACCTATGAACTCTTGTCCTACAGTATCCTTCAATAATACTCCACTTATTCCTGTTGAGCAAATCCGCTACTTAGGACTCCACCTTGACAAACGACTCACTTGGAACCCCCATACCAGACTGAAACGACTAGAAACCGCCCGACGTTTTCGACTACTGCAGCACTTACTAGACAAACGATCTAAGCTTTCAATCAATTATAAACGACTCGTATATATGACAATAATAAGACCTATTTGGACTTACGGAATTGAGCTTTGGGGCTCCACTAAACCATCGAATCCCTCTCGTATCCAATCCTTACAATCCAAAACCCTTCGTAAAATCCTCAACGCTCCTTACTTTGTCACAAATAAAATCATCCATAAAGACCTTAATGTTCCACACAGGCGGTTTTACGGGGGGGGGGCTTTCGGGCTGAAGCCCCCCCCCAAAATGGTAAAATGTATCCATGTTTTATGGTAAAAAATATTAAAAAATTATGTCTTCAAGTATTATTGCTCGCTTAATTACATTTAATAGGACTTCAAGAATCACTTAAACATCATTTCATATAGCTAATTAGTATCTTCTGTTTTCTAAAGTAATTATCGTTATATATATGAAAAAAAAAGCTTCCGGGCTGAAGCCCCTCCCCCCCCCAAAATTAAATCCTGGATCCGCTAGTGATGTTCCATATGTTTCCGATCTGGCCCAATCCAGATACCTTTCCTTCCATAACAAACTGCAGAACCATCCGAATCCTCTCGTTTCAAACCTTGCTTCCTCCTCGATCCCTGATAACCCTCCGAGGCGTCTGAAAAGAAGATGACCTCGGGATCTTCTAATATAGAACTTTAATTTGAGTTCTACCAATGGGTAGTTTCTCTTCATGTTGTACATGCCATGTTACAAATTTCTCATTTACTTATTGTATTCTCTATGTAATACAGTTGTAAATTCCATTAAAATAATAAAAAAAAAATATATATATATTTCTTGAACGGTAGAACCTATTTTGTTGATTTTTTAAACTGATTATATAGGGAATAATTGTAAAATAAGTCGTGGACCCTGTACAGCAATAGCCGAAAGTCAAGTTAGACTACAGACTATAAATGGTAGCCTTATGTATGTGCGTTATCCGTGAGTTTCTGTGGTATGATTAATATTCAATTTATTATGTATATATTACAATAATATAAAAATAAAAATTTGTGTATATATACTAACCAATAAAAATACCACCAGTGAAATATAAATTAATTTATTATCACTGCCTCAATGCGACCTCTTGTGATAAAAAGATTCCCCGCCAATGATCCTATTAACTATCTCACATTATTAAAAGTTACGAAAAAATGCTAAATATAACTTTTGAAAGAATTTGATAATTGAATAAAGGAGGAAAAATAAAAATGCTTATCCAGGTCGAAAATGAATTTCCGGAAATACTAGACAAAAATATTTTTAAAATGTATTATTGTTTGTAAAACACCATTTCATATAGGTAGTTAGTTTCTTTCCTTTTCGTCGAAGGTAATTATCATACTATTCATAAAAAAAAAAATCTTTTAGACTAAAGCTCCAAAAAAATTAGATCCGTATGTGTCCCACTCCATCACTCCTTCATATTGAAAAAATGTTTGCTTGACGGACTCATATCAGATAGCTTATTGAAGAAAACATGAGTAATTGAAGACAATTGCAATGATTAAAAATGAAAAATACTTTTTTCAAATTCGTATCTCGTAAATTGATTGATTTACCGAGCCAATTGTGGTTTTAAATTATAGCATATTTAATCTAGTTTAAAAACATAGCGTATGATTCCATACCACAGGTGGGCATCCCGCGGCCTCCTGAGTTACCCACATGAATATAAGTATATGTGTATATTTACTCATAAATAAAAATATAAAAGTTACATGAGTGTTCGTGGCTAATCTCAATCTCCACTGGCTTTAGCACCAGTGACGCGGTTGAGAGAGTACCGCAGAGATCTTTTGGAGTCTTGCTTTTCCCTCTATATATGGTGGGAATGTGTTCATACCTCACTATAATTATTGTGCACGTGACAGATTATTATATTTCTAAATAATTAAATTATATTTTAAAAAATAAAAAAAACTGTGGTATCCATTATCACTGCCCAACCTTAATAAGGTCTCAAATAATAAAAAGGTTCTCTATCTATGCTAAACTATAGCTCGATAACGGGCGGATCATCTTTAAGCTCGAAAAATTCAAAGATGGCAGATTATTGAAATTAAAAAAAAAATGTATAGCAGGAAACAATTATGATAAGCTAATATCCGGGGTTTGGTTTATTGCGTGCCAGAGGTTGGTATTCTCAATAATTACCTGTTGATGAGGTCGCGATGGTCGAGCGTCTTAAAGTGTAAACTGTAACATTCTCGAGCTAAACTTAACCATAATTTTGAAGTCATTAAATTATTAAATTTAAATTTAGTACCAAGTGTCATGGCCGCAATTACACTTACAATTACAGGCATCGCTCTGTCTTTGTTTCCTTTTCATCAGGTTATGCTTCAATTACTGCTGCTATACAGTGTTAATAGTGTGCTTTTGTACATTTGAACATTTTCACATTAAAATATTGAGGTGAGAGACATTTATTAAAAATTATGACTTTATTGAAAGCGTATGGTGAAATGAAAAACTTTTATGAGAAACCAAAATAACGGACCTTGAATAACATCATAAACAATTGATGAAAAATAATTAGCTTATCAACTGTTTTCCTCAAATTCAACAGTATGAATTACTTCAATCAATTGATAAACTGCATAATTCTTTCACATCTTAATTATATGAATCATAATTAGCCTACGTATCTCGTTTGATATTTGGCAATTCACAACATTTTGTAGTTCCTTAAATACTTACATATTTTACAACTTAGGAAAAAGAAAAAAAAATGAGACTGACACCGCAGGAAACCATGGTAACCATGCCATCGGGAGCTAAAGAGGACAGCCGTCCATTCTTCGTGGTCCATCCAATCGAAGGAGTGGTCACAGAACTGGAAGACTTCACGTCTCTGCTGCCATTCAAGGTCTACGGCTTCCAATGCACCACTAATGTGTCTGATGACTCTGTAGGATCGATGGCATCCACATATCTTAAGGTAAAACATCTTTTCGGCTACTCCCACTAAAATATAAGTAAGCCTGTGTTTAAGATCTATGTTGAACTTTAATTTTTTTATTATTAATCTTATTATTTCCCATTTATTTTTTTCTATTATTTAATTTATTTATATTTTCAATAAACATAATTTTAATTAATCAGGGAAGGTTATGATCTTTATAGGGTACGATGTTTCAGAGTGCTGAGTGTTAAAAGTACTGTCCTATTAACACGAAACTAGCAGGTACTTTAGCAAATTTGAGGCCCTTATAGTCGAGAGTGTCAAAGAGTCACAACTCATTGGTCACGACTTTAATTTCATTGTTGTTTGATAAATCTGTAATAATTAGCGAATTTTTTCATTAATTTCTCCAAAGCTAGGTAACTTAAATTAAATTATCCACACATCGGTTCCACCATAACCTCAATGAATCAATAACGATTGGGAGTAGACCAGAGTATAACAAAAACAAAAACAGCTTTCTTCTTCCTTTCAAGGATATTAAAATTCCAAAAAGTCTCAATAAATTCTAAATTAAGAGTTATCATAACGATATGATGTAGACAGGTTGACACACAGCTGTGTGACCTGGGCACTAACCAACATCCTACAAAAAAGTGTTGAAATATTTGCAGAAATCGTACGATAACCGGAGCGATCTAAGATCAGAGTACTAATCCTCGGAGGATTGATAAACAGAAACTAGCCAATCAATGTCTTGGCATAAAAATACGAAGGCAAAGAGATTAAGATGGGTGGGACATGTAGCACGGAGCAATCCCTCTGGAAATCACGAGAAAAATAAAAAAAAACAGATGAATATATCGAATCAACAAAGATGTAATAGAGCACCATGCAGATAACTGTAAAGAAAGAGCCCAAGTTAGGCTGAGATGGAGAAGAAAGCTGGTTAATTCGGCAAAATATCAACAAGGTCTGTAATGGTAACAGAAAAAAATGGTACATTAATGTTCAATAGAAGAAAATAACAGTTTAATAAATTAAAGAAATCCTTTTCCAAAGAATACAAGTAGGGTATAAATGCCTTTATACTAAATAGTATTATAATAGTATTTAAGAGATTAACTAGAACCAAGGAGATCAAGGGATTACGGAAACAAATTGAAGAGATAGGAGTACAAGTAATATTGAATTCCGTAAGACAGAACGTTTTCACAAGTTTTTTTGTGCTATTTCCAAAACCATTAGGAATTTTTCAATGAATTAACGTTGGATTAATAATAAAGCTATCAACAAATAAAAATTGTAAACATTGTAAAGATATTAGAACAAAACAATTTTTAAACATCAAATTGTATATTCCGTAAATATTAAAATAAAAAAAAAATACCAAACAACAATTGGTAATTATTTGTCATTTCAGTAACAATATTCGAGGTATGGTTAGAACGTTGGTTATGAGCTAGGTGGTTCATATCCTTGCTCCAATTGACATTTACAAAACTGCAGTTCTTTAATTCATTCATACCTCCTAGGCAACTAAATTAGGAAAAACAATTGAGAATAATTCACAATGATTAAATCGATGATGGTTATAATATATTTAACGTGAAGTGGTTGTAATAAAGAACCCTATGGGTTCTAATGAGTTAACAATCTGTACAAAGGGAGCATTCTTGATTTTTTGAAAATGTATTGCAGTCTATGAGAAAATGGAAGGTGTCTATGCTATAAAACGGTTCAAAGTTTTGTATTATATATATGATAGCAATTTCTTAAAGCTCGCAATATATATATATATTTTTTTGGGGGGGAGGGGGAGGAGGATGGGAACGATCCAAGAAGGCAATACTAGTAATATGAGATCGGGTTCCATACTCCATCATAAGGACACTGTGTCCCTGCATCTCTTTATCCGTCCAGGCTCTTCCAGTCCTTGCAGTTCTCTCGACCTGAAACTCTTCCAAACCTCCAAGCATGGTCTGAAAAGTATACCTGTTCAACTTCTCTTCTCGGAACCTTCCAGATTTTGAACCTACCTAAATTTTTACGAAATTTGCTGAACCATGCGGTTGTTTTCTTCTTTTCCCACAGGAAATCGAATATCCTTTTAGATAACCTAGTCTTGTCCATTCTGAAGAAGTGCCTGAGAAATTATAGCCTCCTCTTTCTCATATTTCTCCTCTTCAACCAGGATTGTGCGCATAAATTTCCGTAATATTTTTCTTTCCAGTATATCCAGTCTTTCCAACTTGTAATTCATCTTTTTTTTTTCCTTTAAGTTTATTAATTTTTTTATGGGGTTGGAGATACGAGTGCTATAATTTCTTTTCTTATATTCTCAGCCTAAATCACTGTCAAGAATTCGAGTCAACATGAAAAAAAAAAAACAGGCCAAAACTATTTACAAGGATAACAAGTAACATTAGGTTGTTTACTAAGCTTTATATAAATACTTTACAGCTGATGAAGGACGTCAAAACCACCGATCCGATCTTGCTCCTTGGATACTCTTTCGGGGCATCAGTAGCTTTCGAAATGGCGCTGCGGTTGGAGGCGGAGGGTCGCAAAGTGCACCTCTTCCTCATCGACGGCTCTCCCGATTTCGTGAGAAAGCGGACTTCGCTCTACAGGGCCAAGATTACCGACGCCGACGAGGCCGATGCCTTCTCCTATTACATCACTCTCTTCAAGACAATAGACCACAATGAGTATCAGAAGGTAAGCTATACGAGACGAGCTGAGGCTATTACTCACGAGACTGATGCTGTAAATAATTTTATTTTCATTTCATTCAAATTTACTTATTATCATCTACAATATAACTTCCCCCTCCCTCTATCACTACAGCGATAATCTTTCATTATCTGAAACAGTGCTTGAAGTCTGTCAGCTTCTTCAGGACACACAGCTCCTTTTCTTTCACAGTTTCAACAGACTCAAATGTTGTTATTTTTAATGCAAAATGACGAATCGTGTTTTTTAAATGATTATCTTGAAATGAAGCGCCAATCCATGCACTGCAAGAGTCCAACACCGAGAGACGAAAAAGCTCGAATGAACAAATCGAAATTCAATATACCTGCAAGTCCTACTATTAATCAACATTCTTATTGGGACAGAGCGGAACGCGACCCGAAGAAGCTGACAGGAGACATCCATCACTGATTCAACCAATGGAAGATTCGCATGATGCGTTGTTGGGATAGGAGAGGGGTGTATATTGAAGTTGATAATAAGTAAATATGTACGAAATATAAAATGTTTATCATAATTAATAGCCGCACCTCGTATATTAGTTTTTAGATAATTTATTAATTAATTATTTCAGATTCAACAAGAATTCAAAGCTCTGCCAAATATGGAGGCGAGGCTGAGCCTTTGCGCCAAGAAACTGGAAGGAGAAGGAGAGTCGGAGGATGACATAAAAAAGGCAGCACAGACATTTTACAACAAAATCCTCGCAGCAGAGAAATACTATCCTTCGTCTGTGTTCACAGGAAAAGTCCTCCTCCTCAAGGCTGATCAGAATTTTGTAGCTGCAGAAAAGGATTACGGTCTAAAGAAGGTATTTTTCTGAAAATTAGTATCTTATTGTTTTGTTTTTTTTCTGTTGGCGTTACAGACCTTGTAGATCTGTCGCCAACTTAACCAACATTCTTCATCTCTGCATATCTTGGACTATTTCTTTCAAGTTCTATGGCATCTTTGTTGATTCGATCTATCTATCTGTTTTTCCACATGTTTTCCAGATGGATTGCTCCGAGCTACATGTCTCATCCATCTTAATCCCATTGTCTTCATATAATGAGATATTGATCGACCAGTTTCTATTTATTGGGCCTTCTCCTCCAAGGATTAATACTCTGATCTTGGGTCACTCCGTTTATCGTGAGGAGGATTTTTTTCTCAAACCTTTCATTACTTCTTTCTAGAGTGCAGGGTAGTGTTCAGGTCTCACAGCTGTATATCTAAACTGACTTAATTATAGCATTGTACACTCTTAATTTGAGATATTTCAGGATTTTAATACCTTTGAATGAGAGAAGAAAGCTCTATTTGCGCTTAGTTTACACTGGTCTACTAAAATGGTATCTATCATGCTGGAAATTAATTGTATATTTAAAAAATAATGACAAAAAATATACAGAAATGAGAAACATTTTCAATTAGTTATATAACTGGAAATAGTCAGGTACTCTGTCGGAACATTATCAACAAATTGTGATGACTATTAATTGAATGCCAGCCTTACAAGCTATATTGTAGTTCATCAGGACTTAAAGAAGTAGACGTCACTCATAACATAACTTATGAAATAGCAAATTTTTATTAATCAGTGACAATATTTTAACTATTGAGGTTGAAATATTTCATATATCGTTTTCTATTGTAAGGATTTTAAGCTTGAGGTAATTACTTCATAGTACAGTACCAGAACAGCATTTCATTGCCACACATTCCTTGCATTGCAAACGTTCTATTTCGAAACAGTTTTAAGGATAGTAGTAATAGGAGATACAAGTATTCAGCATCATTTTTTTTTTATTGGTTTACACCTGCCTCCACTCACTGAACTACAAGTACGAATCTGTAGGCCAACAATATAAAACAAGTAGTTACATCAATTTAAAGCTCTTGCGTTAAAAGATTCAACAAAATCAGAGCCAACAATTTTTGTTTCATTTTTTTTTTAATGGTTTTAAGTGAACAAATTTAATGGTATCAGTATCATGAAAAACAATTTTTTTATATAAATGTGAATTGATGAAATATCTTATAGAATCAGTGCTGTTTATATTTGTACTCGTGTAAACAGGACTTTTTCTATAATAATTTTCTATAATCAGGATTTAGGATTTTTCTATAAAACAATGGATTTCCTTAAACTATAATCTTTTTAAAGCCTACTTCCATATTTTATCCTGACGAGGATCCATTCCTCTCGCAAACTATGCCCCATCATAAAATCTTCTATTTGCTTATTCCCATTTTACTGGGTCAACATCGTCTTCCTACGCCAATTTATCAAAACTAAATCTCCCTTCAGGCATTCTTATTAAATGTCCATACCAACTGAGCAACTTTTTTCGAACTCTTCCAGAATATTTTGTATACCTCCTTCTTTTTTCTATTTTATTCATTTCTTATTCTATCCATTATGAATAATCTTTCTGATCATCACCAAAAATCCTTCTTGCCATGAGTTTCTTCTTAAGTTCACTCTTTATGGTCCAGGTTTCTACTCTGTATATCATAATGCTCAATACTTCATAAATATTTCGGTGAGTGAACAAACAGCTATATAGTATGGAAATATAATATGAAATGGAGGAATTAATTTTTTTTCCTTGGTCAATTAAAATAGTGTATTCAAAATAATAAAACAAAAAGTGTAGAAATTACAATAGGTTGTATCATGGCAAATAATTATCCAATTTTTTTTTTTTTTTCTTTCAGAAGGTAATTTACAAACCTTACAAATAATCATAGGTGATATCAACTATAAACTATAAAATTTTTGAGTAATTTTATTTTTTTTCATAACTTTTTTAATGAAATTTCTGAGGGATACGCAGGTACATAATATCAATTTTGATTGGGGTGAGATGAACCCCTTTCTCCCAAAGAAGTCTTGAGAGTTTATATTATGAATAAAAATTATGAGTGATAATTAAAATAATCACCATAAGTATTGTAAAATGAACAATATAATACATTTAATAACCTTGTAAATAAATTTAGATATGCTCTTGTTATAAGGATGGCCCAATAATTGGATTTGATGAAGAATCAATGAAGATACATTGCACTGACAACAAAATACTTTATTAAGGTTCCTACTTCATAATATTGAGCTGAGCCATTGATCTAATCTTCTTGACTTCTGTGATCTTTATTTTTATTTCCAAGAAATTCAAAGAGCTAAATCCTTTTCAGTATTGATGACCAGCCCCCTTTGTTCATATAAATCTTTTAATCTTCTGAGCATATACCAGCATCTTCAGTGTCCTAAGCAGTGATAGCTTGGTGGTCTGCAAACAAAAGTTATATACCAATACTCTCAAATGAAATCCCATGGGTTAACATTTTTTCCTCCATTCTATTAAATAAATTACAAGAAGAATCTTGAACTATATCACAAATACCTTGTCAAAATCCGCAACGAGATCATAAGAAACCAATTAGATCATGAATTTAATGATTCAAATGACTGTAGTGGACTTACATTGCATAGATCATATGTTCACATAAGGCATTTTTCTTACCTGCTTGAGACTTATAAAAATGGTTGTGACAAATTTAGTGAGTCATAGACCCATGGTGTCTAGTCATAGACCTAAAATCTATCTTTTTACTAATTTAAATAAGCCTAACTGAAATTCTCAATTAATAACTCAATCAATAATATATATTGATCAACTAATACCTTGCCTATTAAGTATCATTGCTTTCCAAAACTTGGGATGATTTCTTCTATTTTAATTTAAAAAATAATCATTTTGAATTTCAAATACATCTATTTGAAATAAAACTAATAAATTATTTTTATGTTATTAGTTATGCAAGGAGGTTCCTGAAGTGTACACATACAAGACAACTCACAAGGAAATCATAAAAATTCCAACGGTCAAGAAAATAGTGAACAGGATAATCAATGCATTGAACTCATAATTTGTACAAATTGAAAGTTCTTTGAAAATTAAAAAAAAGTTAATTTCCAACACATACCTGAAAACGCTCACTACTACTTTAGATTTCATGAAACAAAAAATTTAATGTTTTAATTTATTTTGTTATGTAAATAATTTTAAAATATAGTTTTAAATTATTTCCCTGTTGTTTTTGTAATATTTTTTAAAACATTCTTTATTGAGAAGTGAATATCCAATATATTTTACCATGGTAAATTAAAATACAATTTAACTTTTAAATGTAATTTAAATCTGACAAGTTTTAGTTTATCTATCTCTTTTCTTTTTACATCATTAAGGACCGAATACATTTTATCGTATACCACACAAGAACATGCTCATTTCGATCCCACTAATCTATTTACAGAGAACCACCAATATCATAATTATAAAATTAGGAATAATGTTCTTGAAAAATTTCATTGAATATATCAACACTTATTAAATAGAAAAATTGATATTTTTTATAATACTCATTTAAAATAAATAATAATTATAATTTAGTAGAATACTGATCATGGGCGTATGCAGAGGAAAGTCGTTGCACTTTAAAAGAAAATAAAACATATTATAACACAAAATATCAAAAAAATTAATTTTTGTAAGTTGTTCTATATATACATTGTATCTCTCTCTTATATAAAATAGTTTTTAGTGACTGTGTAATATTTTATTTTACTAATATAAAATCATTATTGTACCTTCTTCAATTTGTTTAAATATTTTAATTATATAACTGCTTCGTTTTCCAGTGCTATCTCTTTTTGTAATTCTTTGCCTATCTCTTTTCCTCAATTCACCTCCAAATTTTCTTTTAAACAGCACTTCTTTCTTCTCTATAGGATATTTCACTATAGTGCTTTGGTTAACATTAAGCCAGACAATTGTATAAAAAGTCTGAACATAGTATTATTATTAGGGGACTTTTGACACATAATAAAGTTATTTTATCACTCATTGATTTAATATTTTTTACCTATACAAAAAACAATCTGGCGCAGTATGCACATTACACAATTTTCACTTACCTTCCTTTGTTTTTAGTAAAAAAAGATTTTCAGACAAATTGGAGTGAAAGTAAAAGTTATAAATGGTATGAAATGATATTTAAAACAATTAACTATCAAGTTTTTCATAGCTGTATAATGTATTATATTTATGTTTTTTGTTGCACTTGAAAACAAGCATTATTGCACTGGTGCCTTTCTGGACGTAGCACAAGCTTTCGACCGGGTGTGGCACGATGGCTTGCTTTTCAAGCTCAAAACCCATTTACCCCAATCCTTATACCTAGTCCTCAAATCCTACCTCTCAAATCGTTCATTTCAAGTCCGTTGTGACTCCGAATTTTCCACTTACTATCCAGTTGAGGCTGGTGTTCCACAAGGCAGTGTCTTGGGCCCAGTTCTCTACATCCTCTTCACTTCCGATATCCCTTCAAATCCCGATACATTTCTAGCTACATTTGCTGATGATACTGCCATTCTATCCTCCCACTCAGATCCTCAAATAGCATCTCTAAACCTACAATCTCATCTCTCCTTGATTGAGCAGTGGTGCAACAACTGGCGCATCAAAATCAATGAATCAAAATGCAAACATATCACTTTCACCCTGCGACGCAGATCCTGTCTGCCAATCCTTTTTAATTCAATTCCACTTCCCTACTCAGACACAATCCGTTACCTTGGCTTCTTCTTTCTTGACAAAAGACTAACTTGGAACCCACATACCAGACTTAAAAGACAAGAACTTAACAGACGATATGGCCAGCTGTATAGATTACTAAGTAGGACATCCCATCTTTCGATTGAAAATAAACTTTTAATCTACAAGACCATACTGAAACCTATCTGGACCTACGGACTTGAACTGTGGGGAACTGCTAAACATTCGAATATCAAACGCATTCAATCCTTCCAGTCCAAAGTACTTAGAACAATAGTCAATGCCCATATTATGTCACAAACAAGACCTAACATCCCATTTGTCCTCGACGTCATCCCAACCAGATTCTCAAACTTTCACCAAAACCTTATCCATCATCCAAATCCTCTAGCTCAATCCCTATCCAGCTCCCTTCATCCCTACAATCCTCCACGAAGGTTAAAACGGCAGTGGCCCAGAGATCTCTTGTAAATATGCTTCTGGAGTCCTGGCAATGGCCAGCTTCTCCACTCATGTCCCGAGCGTCTGTGGCTCTAGTGCCCTCTTTCAGTCTCCATTGGCTTCTAATACTAGTGATGCAGCTGGAAAAGTGGCACTGGGATCTCCTGGAGTCTTGCTTTGCCTTCCACATATGGGGGAAAAAGCCTGGCTCGGAGATTCCTGAGTGAATGTATATATTGTATATAGGTATGATTGTGTTAATAAGTTTCTATTTTATGTTATTGTTTACTTTTTTTTTCTTTTATTTATTTTCTTCATCAGTATTATTTATTTACTTTTTATGTTTATATTTATTTCTCTATTATTTGTATATATTGTTTGAATGAGAACTCTTAGCCCTAATACTTACAGCCCTCCAGTGGCTGATTGTATTATTATTCAATAAATAGATAAAAAAAAAAAAAAAAAAAATGTTTTTTGTCAATAAGCATTTCCTTTTACGACTGTATATTTTAATTATTTATTTGATTATGATAAATATTTAAATGCCACAAAATATTTTTAGACCAACAAGAGTGACACTGATAAACAAAGCCGCTATAAATATAAATATTTATATTTCATTTTAGGTATTTTTACTTGTATAAACATCGGTATATATACAAATTTTAATTTTTGTATTGCTGCAATTTAAACAATTAAATATTAAATAATACCAACTCTAGCATTTATGAAAAAGACATAATATTATCGGAGCTGGTATTATAAACACGTATGGAAGCCTATTCTAACCTTTTGACGAAGCTCTGATTTCTTCGGTCCCTCTATTACTACTATTTAGTTATAATCCCTTATTTCCACTTTAGTTAATTATCAAATTCTTTCATTTTTTTTATTTAACAATTTTTTATAGCAGATTCAAAGTGAAATGGTTAATATTTCAAATAAAAGATCATAAAAGTACTTTAGAGAAAGAAATTTTGAAAATTAAGAATTAGAGCTCTGTTTGAGAATAAGATCTACACTATATTAAAACCTGCTTAAGTTTATACTAATATAATGAATTTAATCAAAATCATTAGCAGTTTTCGAGAAAATTGTAAAGATGTGTAAAATTAAAGATATAAAGTGGCACTTCAGATTAGCCGACTTTCAGGAAAAAGTTGCAGTAACATCCCAGCCATATACATTACATACCTTAAATATGTAAAACAGTTTCATAAAACTTTTCATTTTTTGAGGTAGATTGTTCACATGCAAACAAAGAACACTTGGGACTTGGTTATTTGGACTCAGAAGAACTCAACACATGTATTTCCGTTGATAACAAAAGAATTTTAATGTAGCAAAAGTTTTCATACATATTCATATTTATTTTAGCCAAAGTTTCAAATTAATATCTTGAACGAAGTACTTCGTCTTGAGTTTCATTTTCATTTGGATTATTATATAACAGTCATTATCATGTGTGAAAAGCAAGGGACTAAGGAGTGGTATCCTGATAAAATTTGAATGTCAGTTCTATACCCATTTTTTCTGCACTAACATTAACAATCGACACTTTCATCAAAGAGTTTAAGAAAAAACTTAAAGGTTATTTGAGTGATGTAATATATTCTTATGGGAACAAATTTAATTTGTCATGAAAGGTATAGGTGGTAGTGTTCTTGTGAGGGGATTATGTCTGCATGCACAGTCGGGACTTTGGTTTTTATCGATGTAGTAAGTGGGAAGAATAAATTTAAAATGAAATTTAAGGGCTGGCAAAGTCAAAAGTGGACATAGAACGAATATTCCAATTTTATCAGGATAATAATCCTCAGTCTCCAGACAAGGGAATGGCTGTTATATAATGATCCAAATGGACATGAAACCCCCTTCAGAGTTAAGATTTAAATCCTATCAAATACTTATGATTTCATCTCAACCCACAGTTCATAAATGAAAATACAATGTCAGTAAAATTGATTGAAATTAAATCATTGGAAAAATGGTATTAAGTAGACTGCATTCAAGACATTGGTACTAGTTCACAAGAGTTCCACACGGATTACGCATGGTTCACAATCACTTCGGTCACACTTGTTCATGGAATCCCGAATGCCTTCAGGTTTATCCGACAGAACGAAGGCTACCAATCTCTTGAATTAGTTACGATTAACTTTCCCGCCAATTAAGTACTTCTATAACCTTAACCATGTTCAGTTATATTGACGTTATTTAAGGTATTGACTTAAATTCGAAATTTAGACTACACATCATGAAACCTGAATCGAACATGCATATATATTATATATATGTGAAAAAGGAATATTAATAGATAAAAACATTTAATTATTACATCTCTGAATGCTATTTCACAATATTTTTCTTATTTATGATTTCCATTATTCATTATCTCGGAATTATCAGATATTCTTCTTCAGTTCTTTCCTCAATACGTTAATTCCTTGCTCGAAAATAAACACGATTTTTTTTATTTTTTATTTTACGAATGACTACAATAATCGCCATTCGGATTATTTATTATCCAAATGATAAAAAACTCTTTTATACAATTTATAATAGATAATATACAACAGTATATGTGTATTTATAGCCACTACATATAAGCACGTGTCAATAAAAATTTTATTTCTAAAAGCATTTTTTTTTCACAGGCCTTGAAGAAAGACTCAAACATTATTTTATATATGTTTTCTTTTTCTTTCACAGTAATGACCATTATAATGCAAATTAATAATTAACTAATTAAGTAAATACACAATTTGTTAATACATTTTTAATAAGGAAGTTCCATGAAGGGAATACGTTTTTTTTTCTTTCAAAGATGCATTAAGAGGGACAATAGCTGACGTCATAAAAGACGACAACATTCGGCTGTTTTCGGGATTTCATGAACAAGTGTGATCGAAGTGTTGTGAACTTGTACCAAGACATTAATTTAAAACTTTTCACTGAAATAAATGCACAAATTCTCATGATATAAATATATATGAAAATAAACATACTGCATTAAAATTCTCATTTTAAACAGTGATTCAATTATAAACCATCAAAATCTGATGCGTTTTGCGCATCACACAACTTTCACTTACCACTCTTCTTAACAGAAATAAGTATTTTCAGACAAAGGGGAAGTGAAAGTAAAAATTATTAACGTTATATTGATTTATATTTCATTCTGGGTATTTTTATTTGTTTAAGTATCCTCATATATACAAAGTTTAATATTTATATCATTGTAATCTATACAATTAATTAAATATTAAATAATACCAATGAAAACATTTAGAAAAACCGTATATGTATATGTACAAAATATTGTTGAAGTCCGTATTATATTAAGCTCATGTTACTATAGAAGCATGTTCTAATCTTTGGATGGGCTCGGGTCCCCGTATCGCTTTGGTTCCTTCATTACAACTATTCTCTGTTATGATCTCTTATTTTTCCTTCAGTTTATCATCAAATTCTTTCATATTTTATATTTAACTATTTTTTATATTAGAGATTAATGTGAAATGGTTATAATTGTTAAAAAAAAAAAATTAAAGGTACTTTAGGAGGAAGCTAATATTAAAAATTAGCCATTTAAGCCCTGTTAGAAAACATCAATCAGGATAAAACCTACATAAAATTAAAAACTGCTTAATTTTATACTGATATAATGAATTTAATCAAAATCATTGAAGCCGTTTTCGAGAAAATTGTAAAAATGTGTTTCATCGATCATGTTAAGAGTCATTTCCGGTTAGATGAGTTTGAGGAAAAAATTGCTGTAACATCTCAGATATATACAAACCTTAAATATGCAATTTCACTTTCATACAACTTTTCGTTTTTGACCTGTCACTTACATACACACAGACACAAGCCATTTTGCAGGACTTGGTTATTTGGACTCAGGAGATCTCAAAATCCAGTTCTCAGCTCAGCAATCTTATCAGTAAAATTTTGTTCCAATTAAACATCACCTTACATGATTCTTTATACAGTCCATTAATCATTTTTACTTTGAGATTGTTCTCCACATATTTGCCATCTTGCCATTTTCCCTCAAACTCCGATGTTTTATCAAAAAATATCCGCAAATATAAAGACATATTAAAACATGACACATTATAATCTTTAAATGTATGCAGATATTAGTAAATATTTTGTAAGTAATGTCACAAAAAGAGGAAAAAAATAAAATGTCAGCTTCAACTTAATGCTACACAAGTTCGCTAATTAATTAATTGTGGTTGAACTATAATTACTTACTCATGATTTTCTAGGCTTAATTTTCTTTCACTTGTGACAATTAAATTTTTGATCTGTGTAGATAGATATTTTTAAAAAATACAGGACTTATGAAAACAGGAAAAAGAAAGGTATGATAAATAAAACTTCAAAATACAAATTCACATTAATTTTTAATATCATTTCTCAATCTGTTGGTACTTTTAGCGATATAAACAACCATTAACTATTTACACTTAATTAAATTCCACTTCATTAATTAATTCTGAAAAGAGTCGGTGAGAGTTTTAAATAACTAACGAGTGGCCGACGTGACCTCACTTAGACAAAGACATCCTCTAAAAAAGGAGCTTCCTAATATAATATATATATCTTTATTTTCTCTCTCACTATACTTGAATATAAGTATTAGAATAATTAAGATCTACCAGGCTGAGGCTCAAGGGACTTTTCAACTTAATCATAACTGACTCTATATAATACTATGTATACAATACATAATAATTAATTTATAATCATATACTTAGACTGAAAAATCTTTCTTTGGACGAAAACATTCCTTCGTTATGTTGTTCGGGGGACGGTGCATAATCTAAGCGCGTGCTTTTTACCCTCGGTGGGCGAGAAGGGGCAAGATAACGGGGGACAGGAAGGTGAAGTTTGGCACATCCTCTAAGCGAAGAGAGAAAATTTGAGCACCTCTAGAGGAGGGATTAGGTCCCTGGCTGAGCGCTAACTCTTCCTCACTCCTCGAGGGAGCTCGCTCAACCTTTTTCTTTTCCTTACAAAAAAAAATTCATTCTGATTAGTCCTATATCACACCTACAACCCTCACTAGTCGAGGCTCCTATACTCTATTTGGCAAATGTCACACAATTATACAAAAAAAATAATAAACATAAAAAAGTCATTTTTTTTATACCATTTAAAAATGAATAACAAATAATAACAATAATATAATAAAAATAACGAATTGAATCGCACAGATCTCCTTTAAATTCCGACGAGTGGAAGCGTGATTGAAAGAGACAAAAAGGAGTCTAAATCAAAATATTTGTCTGTATTGTTGAGCTGATTTTCCGCAAGTCGCCTGAAGTGTGCGCTCATGTTTTGAGGCCAGCTGCTCGCGTCTCAGGTAACATATGCACTCCCTCTACGCTGAAGATAGAGGCTTCTGAAATTGTGAAAATAAATTAAAATCAATAACTAAAAAATAAAATATGAATAAATAATTAATTAAATAAATGGCCAGCAATGGAAATTTAACATGAAATTTTAAATAAAGAAATTAATGTTTTTTAAAATTCCTTATGATAGGGATAAAAATTATTTCACTTATCAGCACTTCAAATATTTATATATCTGCTGTATTTCAGAGCTGAAATAAATATTTATGTAAACAATTCTATTTACATTGCACTAATATGTATTCTTTTTAGTAAGTGGAAACTCATCACAGAATGATTTAATTATTACAAAAAACAAGTTGTAATCCTTTGAAACAGCTTTATGAAGATAAATGATAAGAAACATTTTATATTGAATTAAAATCATAATACTAACCATCTGGGAGCTCATAAAGTTTCTTAGGTAACGAACTGAAATATTTGTGCCTCAATGCTTCCTCTGCATCGATCCTTTTGTCAGGATTCAACTATAAAATAAAATAGAATAATTATTAGTAAAAATAATTTAGAAAAGGAATAAATTTTTGTTTTTAAAAAATAAACTTCTGAAATGAAATTATTTAATAATAATTAGACTCATTTTAGAGATGCATGTTTCCAATACCAAGTTTATAACCTTGCTATATATTGTTTTAAATTAGGCTACAGATTGTTTTAAAGTAAACAACAACAGATACGGCTACAAATTTTAATTTTTTACAAGTTACCCAGGACGATTCAAGAACAAATCCTTTTTCAAGATATAATAATGTCAAACATTCAAAGTTTGATCTATCAATACTTTTATATTTATGGTAACTAAAAATACCTTTAAAATGATAATAATAATAATAATAATAATAAGCTTAGCGAACCCGAAGGTTCGATGCGACAACACCAATCGCTTGTTACACACCTCCCTCCACCGTTCGCCGTCCAAACCCAGTCCCTTCAGATCGGCTTTAATGCAATCTTCCCACCTTCGCTTCGGTCTACCATTCGGCACAGCAAATATTAACCTTTTAGGAATTCTCTCGTTACTAAGCCCAACAACTTTACAAGCCCATTTGATTCGCCGCGATGAAATTACCTCAATTATATTACCCGGATACAGCTCACGCAATTCGGCGTTGTGTAACCGTCTGAACTCTCCGGTTAACTCATCCTTCTTCAGTCCGAATATTCTACGCAATACTTTTATTCAAAAACCTTAAGATGCTGCTCATCCCTTAATGTAAGCGGCCAAGTTTCGCATCCATAAAGAACTGTAGGCAAGATAATTGTTTTATAGATTCTAATTTTTAAGTTTCGGGACAAGAGGTGCGAACTAAGTAGTTTTGTCACAGAAAAATAATAAGCATTCCCCGCCTTCAGTCTAACCTTAATCTCTTCTTCAATTTCGTTTTTTCTAGTTATCGTAGAACCTAGATACCTAAATTTAAAATGATTTAAAATGATGACCTTTAAAATGATTTAATACTATATTTTGATAAAAATAAAACCAATTAAATATTAAATAACAATCAAAAGTAAAAAAAAATCTTTACTGGACTTCTAAATAGAACATCTATTTCGTCTAGAAAACCATGAAGGTTCTACAATCTAACAGATATGTTTTGTTTTTTTCATAAAAAAACCTACATTATTTCGAAATTTTTAAATACTATTTTTAAATACAATAAAATCTAAAGGGAATAACTGAATTAACAAAGAATGAAGATTGAAAAATAAATTAGTTAAATTTGTCCATGTCATGAACAAGCAGGTAATCACGAAAAAATATATTACATTGATTGAATAAACTTGAAATGACAAAATATACTTGATATTAATAATATAAGAATTTTATTTGTAATTACCTGCAAGAGGGCTGATGCCATATTTTCTCCCTCAACAATATCATACAGACGGGGAAAAGCTAGGCCGAGTTTCTGTCCTCTGTAGAAACAAAGTTTATGGGGATTGTAACCGGGCAGGTGGGTCACTCCTTCCCACGTCTCTTCGACGGGTGTACCCAGGATCTAAACGAAACAAAGAAAAATTGTCAAGTAAACAAGTAATGATCTCCAGGCAGAAATAAGAATTTTATACAATAAAATATATATTAAAAAAAAAAAATCAAAATGGCATAATGAACATTTAGAAATAAAAGATTACTCAATTTACTGCCTGCTATATTTCTTTATACAATTAGTTAATACTTGTGGTAACTAATTTTAAATTAAAACTGAATAAATTAAAAACAAATTGAAATATCAATATATTAAAATTGCAATAAAATAAGAAGAATATATATGATTAATTAATTATTAAAGCTTATGACAAAATAATAAATTTTTAACAGCCAATCCAATAAATAAAATTCCAGGGCACCCAGAAACATCATTTTCAACTGATACATATTAAAAATATTTTTTTTAAATTTTGATATCTCTAATTTCAATGATTTAGGATTAATGTGGCAAAAAAAAGTCTATTTTAAAATTTTGTTTGGATAAAATAATGTGATTCTCAAGAGGTTTTTATATGCAATTAAACAATTATGAATATGCCCCATCACAATATAATTATATACAGATAATTCTTTTACCAATAATAACTAGAAAGGAATACTTTGCCATGAAATTTAAATTTTTACAATCAATCAGTTTTTTTATGTGAATTTTTGAAGTCTTTTAAATGGTAATTAACTAACATGTTGAGTCAAAACTTGAAAGTTTATGAACTTAAAAGAGCAGTTGTGAAGTGGACAAAATATTATAAGAATTAAATTCCTTTTAATAAAATTAATTTAATTTACATTTTTCTATTTATATTGTTAAGAAATGAAATATCCTTGAATTGACTGATATGATATAACAGAATCAATGCAAACCTTGAAAATCTTATCAAGCTGGTCATAGACCTCCCTGACGCCGGGGAACGTTGGCACACCGGTTATCATCTCAAGGAAGATACAGCCAACGCCCCACATGTCCAGCGATGTGGAGTAATGTGTCGATCCAAGGAGTACGTCAGGGGGCCTGTACCACAGGGTGACGACTTCATGGGAGTACGTGTGTGATGGCACTGATTTCGCGCGTGCGAGACCTGGAAGACAATATGATCTATAATGATATAATCTATAATATAATATATAAATATATATAATATATAAATATATATAATATAATATAATAATATATATATAATATATATATATAATATATATAATATAATATATAATATAATCTATAATCTATAATGACAATAAATATGGAAATAATAGAGTGAATGATATCTTTTAACAATGTATTTCAGGGTTTGATTAAGCCATTTAATAATTAATAGGCATTCTACCAGAATATGATATAAATATATGAATATCGATGGATTACTTCAAAAATGTTATAAATAACAACTAAACTGGTAGTTAAAAGTTGTCTAATCGAGGTCTTTACAAATGTTTTAAGCGAATATCAAATATATACAACATTCTAAACATCATTAACTTGAAAGAAGAGTTTTACAATATGAAAACTTTTATTTCCTTTTTGTCACTTGGAAGTCTTCTATTCTATTCACACATATTTCTTAAGGAAAAAATTTCATATTTTTAATTTTAATATTCATTATAGTAACAATTTATTATGTTTTTTAAAATGAAAAATGGCTACAATTTAATTACAGGATTCATATTTAAATAATAAAAAATGTCCAATTTGATGTTTTAAAGAGATAACCTGAAATATGTAAACTTTAAGAGTTTCTGTAAAATTACACTTTTTTGTAATGCGGCACTCTTCTTCCAAGCAAATATATATAAAAACCAAAGGAATTTTATAAATAAAATATTACAGGATGCGAATAAAATCTGAATAATTTTTTATGAAAAAACTATAAAATTTTCATTTAAAACTTCTGTGTGGTTGACCATAGATATATTCTTTACAACTTTCTTTGATATCAAAATGTTACAAAAAACATTTAAGTTAATAATTTCCCCAAACTTCACAAACCTAAAGAGGTCTCTGAACTGGTAGAAATAGAATCAGAACAAACGGTTGAAAAAGCAATTCTCAGAACAACTTATAATTAAAAGTGATGAGGTGAGAACTTAGTAACCTCGAGATGAATTTAAAAAAATTAAAACAGGTAGTTGGTGATAAGTAACCTCATGTAATAAATAAACATCGAATATTTACCGAAGTCGGCTAATTTGAGTTCCCCCATTTCTGAGATGAGAAGGTTCTGTGGTTTGACATCTCGGTGAAGAACCATCCTCTTATGGCAGTAGGCCAGACCCCTGAGGAGCTGGAAGAGAAGGAGGCGAACGTTGTGGTAGACGAGACCACCTGGGTGTCGCTCCATATACTGGGAGAGGTCAGTGTGCTAAATAAAATTGATACAATATTAGTTTAATCAAGCAAAGTAATATGATAATCACAATCATAGCGTGAGGTAAGGGGAAAAGAAGACTCACAACATATTCGAAGACGAACGTGAGTGTTTGACTGACGGGTGTGAACGATATCGTGAAGTGTGACTATGTTACAGTGCTTGAGCTCTTTGAGGAGGGAGGCCTCCCTGATAGCTGTGAATGGTGCCCCTTCCTCTTCCTGTAGTCGGATCTCCTTCAGGGCGACCACCTGGTTAGTGAGGCTGGAAGAAATAAATTATGCATTATTATAAATAATTGAAACGTTATTTAACAGTTTTTAAATATAGTAAAATTACTTAAAAATATTAAAATATAATAAATCCACAACTTTATTAAATGGATGCATACGCAGATATTGACTTGAAAGCATTGAATTTGTATGTATAACACTATTTTTTTTTAAATTTAGTTATTGGACTGTTTCTCTTAAATATTGTACAAGAAGGAATTGTTGCCAAGGAATATTTTTAGCAGTTTCTTATTGAATACAATGAATTTAACAAGAGAACCAATCTTCAAGCTTATTGTAATTTTGTTTTTATTAATATATTTTTGTGTTATGTGCATCTTACTCTTTAATTACTGTTACTCTTTCTATTCTATAATTTTTTTTAAATTTATATTATTGGAATTGTGTTGGCTTATATGAGTGTGTCTTAATATTATAATATTTCTACCATTCGATTTTTTTGTTTTTATTTAAATATATATCATGTAGTACTAATAGGGAAAAACATATATAATAATAAGATAATGTAATATAAGTGCTATGAAATGTCCAAATGTGATTGATCAGTATGCTTTGTATAAAGCAACCCTATGTAGTAAGACAGCATTACTTTCAATAAAGTAATTCTCTCTCTCTCTCGAACTCTAGAGAGTTCGGCTTACTGGATTGTTGGGATTACTGATATGGCATGGTATTTCACATATCAAATTAGAAAAAAAAATAGTGAAAACTGAAGTCCTTATAAAGATTCAGAAAATCATCAATATAAGTAATTACATTTAATGTTAATTAAATATTAAAAATGTATGAATCATTTGTAACATGCAGATCAATATAAATACAGTCATAACAAAAAAGAAATTGTTCTGCTAACATCAGCACTTTATTAATTCTATTTTAGGCAAAGCCGAGTACAACTGAATAAACAAGTTCGGATGCTAAAAATTGTTTTTGAATCTTTTCGGCTTCTATTGTAGCTTGGTACCTTGCATCGTTACAATTTAATATTTTTATATTTAAATAAATAATATATTTATAGCTTATAAGCATGTTTATAAATTAAAACAAAAATTAAAATCAGAGATTCCAGTAAAAGACTTACTTGCTGTAGCCCTTGAAGACGGTGGCATATGAGCCTTCTCCCAGCTGCTCTAGTTTAATATAGGCCTCTGATTTACCAAATGGAGAATCACCCTGAGAAAAAACGAAACGAAGAACACAATTATTTTAAATTCCAATAAAAATAAAATTTGTGAATTTCAGTTAACAATTATAATCACAATATAATATATTATTTTAAAATTTAAAAATTCCTATTTTATTGGAAAAAAATAAATAACTTTTCAAAGAAAAGTTTGAAGAATATTTATAGATTTACAAAACTAAGGAAGTAGATTAATTTTCTAATAATTTTTAAACTAAATTTTACATTAATACTCACTGATTGGTTTAATTCCATCGATAGAAAAATATTTGTGCTCGCTATTATAATAAAAAACTAGATTCCTTTTAATGTTCAGATTTCATCAACTAGGAGAAGAAACTACATTTTTTATAATTTTTTTTAAGTATATGTTTCAACTGAAAATAATTCCCAAATATTTCTGATCATAAAGACTTATATTATAATTATCGGTCTCATTATTACAGCTCGAATATTGCAAGTAAACAAACCGCAGGACTAGTTGGATAGCGAAAACGAAACACTCAATATTTCCGATGGAAAAATATTAGAATTAAATTTGTAATAGTTTTACAAAAGCAAGAAACTGTAGGAATCCAGAGACGGCAAATACCAAAGCTAAGAGATGATACGGCATTCTGATAGTGAATAATACTAGCGAGATAAGATAAGAGCCAGGTAACCTGAGATATTTTGTAGTGTAATATTAGTCGGCCGGCAAGGCGATAGTCTGTTTATTTGTTGATAGGTATCGAACCAGCTATAAAAAATATTAGCCTAATCAACACGTATACGAGAACTACGATGCAAGTAGTGTGCTAGAAGCTATATTTTTTATATCTTGTATAAATAAATGCAACAGGACGAAAACCAAAGACAGGAGACATTTTTTCAACCAAAAAAACCTTGAAATTGTAACTTTTTTAAAAATTTTTTACTCTCAAACATTGGAACATTGCGTACAAGCGAAAACTTCTTTTTTTCTAAAAATTCAAGAACATTAAATTCTGCGTCGAATCGGTTAAGTAGTATGGCCGAAAATCACAGTTAAAAAAACCAAGATTTTACCAACTTCGTAAAAATCTGAGGTACGGAAACGAGTCATCAGAGATAAGAACTCATAAAAAAGTTATATAACGTCAAAATCCGCGTCCATTGAATATCATATACTTATTTAATACAATAACATAGTTTTGGACAAAGTTGATAAACATCGATTAAGGTAATAATAGAATAGAATAGATAGATAGATAGAATAGATTTCTTATTTTTTTGTAGGAAGCTATTTAAATTACAATGTTGTTGGCAATAAAAACTTCCAATATATAACAAATAGTTTATTTCCTATAATTCATTTCAAGTTTACGCTTCGGGGTTTAATTCCCATCTTCAGAACTGCATTCCCAATTTTCATAAGCAATTAATAGCTAAAACCTCAATGTGCTCCTATGTCATCATTTAAAGTTTTTTATAAATAATAAAAACTTTAAATTATATATTATTAAATAAAATAAAACTTTAAATTATGACAAAGGAACACATGAGATTTTACCATAACATAACTCCTTCCCTTTTCAATTCTCTACTGATTGGTCGTATATTTTTAGTCCATGGTAGAGAAACCTTTTTATCAAATTATTAACATCCGCCTGAAACTTCTAAATAGCTTCACCTCATCGTAACCTAAAAATATTTTATTTACGAAAATTTTCGGTATTGGGACGTTTTCAATCTGGAGGTCGGCTAACTTCGTCTATTTAATTAGGTACTAAAAATTCGTAAACACCCATTTGCCTTCCACTTGGATAGTGAGACAATTTGATCATAAGATCGATAAAAAAAGGTGGCCTACACAAATATTGGGCGGTTTGATCTATAAGTATAATATAAGTTACAATGAGCTGAAGCTATTTACGAAGTTTAAGGTGGATGTTAATAATTTTATAAATAGAGATCTGTACTACGGACTATTTATTTAAAACAGCGGTCCTATTTGTAATAACAGGCTTTGTAATAATTCACCTTAAAACCTTTCCTTGAAAGGGTTTAAGCACAAATCGGATCACCGCCAAATTATTAAATAATAGGGAGACATTCAAACGATTGCCCTCTAAGATCAAGCTTGCAATAGATCAATAAATTTCAACAAATCAAAAATTTTAACCTTCTATTCACACAAGCTTTCACCATTTCAGGCGCGTTTAGATAATTCCCAAGGCTCGTTTAATGTATTTTTTCATCGATATATCATATGTATATATATATATATATATATATATATATATATATATATATATATATATATATATATATATATATATGCGGCAATTAGCTGCACACCAGCAATGATTCCAACAGAATTTATCACTGTTCCTAAAAATAATTTATTAATCACATTTGGAATAATGCATAAAAACTTAATGTAACTAAAGAGCTTTTTTTTGCCTTTCTCCCACACTTCCCAGATTATTACATGTATAAAATAAATATTTTAAATTTCATTAATATTAAGTTCAAGTAATTAAGATGTAGTCATATCAATTAAGAGGATTCGGTGTAAGTTAAGTCGGGAGCAGTTTGTTATGCGGTATAGAATATCTGATGCTCCTGCTGGGATTGGAGAGAAAGTTTTTAATACAAAGTAAATTTCATTCACGATAGTAAAAGTAAAATTACATTATTTTAGATGATTTTTTATATTAACTGTAAAATATGTCAAATTTGTGGTTGCCAAAAATGCATTATGCTTAATTTAAATAATAGTTAATACCAACCAGTATACCAGAAATGATTGCTATCGAATGAAATCACTCAGTATTCAAGTGCCAATACAAAAATAAAACGCTTTCTTACTGATAAAAGATAACAGAGAAAAAACAAACAATAATATATATAATATGATTAAATTAAATCTAATTTGTGAAACAATAATTTTTATTTAGTGACAATATATGCAAATTGGAACTTTCAGCGTTCAGTAGATGCAAATAATTATCACAATGACGAGACCACTATATATCCTTTCAAGATATCTCAATGCTATGTCGATTACATCGTGTGTTTATATTAAAATAATATTAATATAACTGTTTAAAAAAAATCAAGAATATTATTTAAGTCGAGATGGACCATGTAATCGTTGAGAAAGAAATTGCTCCAGAAGAAAATTGGCTACGTAACCCAGTAAATAAGCATGAAAATCGGAGTGATACTTAGGTAAGATAAGTAGAGATACCTTCATAGCCAAAGGTTCGGCACCGATCCAGCGGACTCACACAGAGAGAGGATGACATTGTAGAAGATGCTACGCTCATCGGCAAACTGAGAGGCTCGCGTATCCTACGGCAGCCCTTATCAGAACCTAAGATAAAGGAACGCTTACCAATTCGATAAGATTATATAATGCCAATAAACATTTTTCCTTCGTAATGATTGTTTTTTGTTTCTTTTTACAACGGACCATAACAAGAGTTACACAACGCTAAGGCAATAGGACGAGTCGTGTGTGAGCTTCCAGGGTTCACTTGCGTAACCCCAGCATAGTGTCGGTAATAGAATCAGCGCGAATCGCAAATGGCTATTAAAAAAATAACACGGGGCAAGGGCAACCAGGGAATATATTAATAGAATAATTCCATTCCTCAATTCCAACAAATTTTATGCATTAGGATAAAAACAAAAATAATATATGAATAAATAGAAGCGTGCATTAATGTTAATTCATATATACCACATGTGGCCTCCGTGACGTAGTTGCGGTCTCCAAACGTGTTTGCGCGATATTTATTAATTAACGCTTGAATTAATTAATATGTAATTATTTAGTTAATTAAGAAATTTCGTTACCCAGTAAAACTTTTACCAGATTAATACTGCAAGATCCTGGATATTTTTTTCCAATGAAACGATTTTCTAAAAACAATAGCTCTATAAAGCAGTCGAATCGTTCGTTACTTTTTTTCTCCTCTTAGTTTTATTTCTTTCGCTCCATGGTTCTTTCTTTCTCTCAAAAATTTGACTGCCGATGGTTAATGGTACCCCATTCCTTTACTTCATCATGCAACGTCACAATGATAGATTTTATCCAGGCATTATTTAAAATTGAACTGAGAAACATTGTTAAAGTTTTCTTCTAGCTTTGATAAGTAAAGAAAAACAAAAAACATTCAATAAACTTGATCTTACCAGCATAAGAATCCAAAGAAATGGGTGGTGCAATTTCAATGGCCGTGACTGTATGTATGAGTGTGCGTATTTAGCGATAAATAAAAATAGTCACAGTAAAATATAAAGAATTGATGCGGCATACATTGCGACCTATAATGACAAAAAGGTTCTCACCTATGTATTATATACCATAAAGTAAAATTGTAATTATAATTTGAATTCTTGAATTTGAAACTAGATTAAATTTAACAATAAATAAAAGAAAGTAACGTAAAAGCCTTAATGAAGTAAAAATTATTTTTTTCAATCAATTAACAGTTCAATCAAATAATAAATACTCAAGGAGTATTACGTGCTAAATCATAAATTAAATAATAATAATAAAAACGCACACACATAAATATTACAATAAACGTTCCTTCAAGTATCCGCAAAGCAAAACTGAAGAACATAAATTAACACCCAACTGTTGAGGAGAGTTATAGAAACTTCGCCATGAACTCGTAACGCTTTTGTTGGAAAAGCTATAACGAACTCCTCTGAAGGAAGTGTTATTAAAACATCTGGAAATAACGTGGGCCAAGAGATATTAATTACTCATTTAATTAAGGTCACAAATTTCTCCTCAGCCAGTCCCTCAATTATTGTCCGATAATTAATTATCTTACTGCAAAGGACCACCCTTCATCAACTTACAGTCAATTAAAATTTATTGTTTTTCTTAATTTGGCAAAAATTAATACTCAAAAGAAGAAAAAAACAGAAATGAAGACCTTTCAATACCTTTCAACTACATATTATTATTTTCTTTTTAATACTAATGGTTTCCCATACCTATTGTTAT